ATCAGCTGTACATTTCTTACATCCTTTCTCTCTTACTAATGGTGGTACCTAAATTAGCTCTAACTAAGTAACTTCTTAAATTACGGCTTGTTCTAAATGCCGTAAATGATTCAGGGGTAAATACTTTACGAGCTACAGAATATGCAAATTTTTCTTAGTTAAAGGCACTCCTGCCTGACAACTTTTCTCTCTAAGTATATTACTTTCCGCTTGAATATTGTATTCCTTGACCCTCTTAAGTTCTCTTTTTATGAGCCATGTTGAGTATGCTCTATTTTTAAGCCAACTAGACAGTTCCTGTAAGTGTTTATCAAAATCCTCTTCACGCAAGCAAATTTTCTTGATGCGCAAACCCTGACTATACGATAGATCTTTTAGAGCTAAGGAACCACCATTAGTATAATCGATATACCGAAGTATAGAGCTAATATATATAGATAAAGATAAAACTGATAAACCTGCATGTTTACTTCATAAGATTTCTATGAAGTAAACCAGGTTTATTTTATCTTTATCTATATATATATATATATATATATATATATATATATATATATATATATATATATATATATATATATATATATATATATCAGACATGCGCAGAGTGTCATGATTGTGATTATGATTATTCAGCTCACTCTCCATCGGGGATTTTTAGCTAGCTGACCGATTACATCAAGTATTACGCTTACTTATATTGCCTATTAAGCTTTGACTATTTATTTTTACAGCAATTGTGCATGATATTACTTTCCTAACTTTTTATCCTAATGGGAGCAGAGTGTTGGTAATGTGCACCCAATTAACTCCACAGAGTTCTCTACAACCGACACCGAAGTGAAGGAGCGTAATAGACTAATCAGTACAATCTGCAGACATGCATGTTTCGGCGACCTATATACGCTTATATAAGCGCTGCCTGTTATTGCGCAGGGCCTCCACATGATTTTTTGCCTGGAGTCAGTGGCCTGTAATTCTATAGTGGTTAGGGTTAATATTAGTGTTAGTGTTAGGTGCCGCAAATTTATTATTATGATAAATTCAAAATGTGGCGCGAATTTATCATAATGATAAATTCGGACGAGTTCAAGAATTTACTCATATAGTAAATTCAAAGGTGGAGCTCATGCTGAAACTTTGGCACGCTATATAAAAGATAACTGCCTGGCGGAACTGTCTCAAATTCCTAGGCTGGTGCTCATGCGGGATGTTCCAGATTTGTTGCTTCAATTCGAACTTTCGCATTTGAATTTTTCATTTCCCACAAGGCCCAAAGGTCAAAATATTTTATGTAAACCATAAAATAATTAAGATTGAAGCTAACGTTTTAAAATTTTCAATACTCCTGAAAAAATAGCAAATGTCTTCAAAGAAATTTAATAAGCCGTTTTAGTCGATTTTTTCGCCAAGTTTCAAACCGAACTTTGGCTAAAAACATTTATATCTCGCCCAATATGAAATGAAAGATCTAGCACTGTATACCAAAATTTATAGCATTTTCTTAATACTATAAACTTATTTGAAAGCCATACCTGCATGTATAGTTTTTACATTATGTTAAATCAAACATCGATACTTTTTTTTTAGACACCCGGTATAAATATATAAGCACTTTGATCGAAACCTGGAGCCACTAGATAACAATCCAAAAATCATGTCGAGCTGATTGTCTAAGCCTGCATGTAACTGCAGCTATAGCTGCGCTGCATAGACTTGAAGATTGCCGAGCTACCTCCACAAAACGAAAATCTACAATGGGCGTGCGCAAATGAAAATACATGCTGCCCTCTCACATTCTTGCAGAAAACAGCATTTATCTACTACACCGTTAAATTCTTAAATTTGCGAAGAGTCCTGGCTTTACATGCATGGTTCCTCGGATCCCAGTTCCGGGTTCTGGTTTTACATATAGCCGACAAACAATAGCAATTTCTGCGCCAGAACGTCATAAATATTTTTTATTCTGGCCATCTGGGTCTTTTATGATGTCTCTTGACCAACTTACACAGTTTAAATTTTGGCTCTTGGGCAATTCAGAAGGTAATATAATAATATTATGGCATCGTAAATGTTTGCGCACACTGGAGCTTTTAACTCTCAGTGATTTATATATGCGCTGCATGAGCAAGAGTTGATTCGCGCTGTCGTGATCGTTGTCGGTACTTGTACTACCGGATAGCATTTTGTCACGTTAGGATAACATATTACATAAATGACGCAGTTTTTTTTGTTATTCATAAAGCTTTATTTAAATATAAAAATAACACTTCAAGGGTTTAATACTCTATAGTAGCCTAGTACTCTTCAATATCCTGCATGCATGCGCATGTCATATCATGCATACATCCTATGGCTATGGTATTTAGGCATTATGTTACATGTATTTTATAAAGTTAGTCTGTAAACGAAGAATGCGTTTTTTAATTCTACCTTTTTAATTCAACCTTTTTAATTCTGAATTTTAACAAATTTTACATTTACAATTACAATATTTGCAATTACGTTCATAATACGTACAGTACTACAGTAGGCGTCAGGTTAGGCTATATATAGTGTTATATGTTACGTACTTTCCGAATTAAAACCACTCTTTTATGGTTAGTGCGTCGAAGATTGGAAGACAAAAATTTGTCGCTTCACAACTAGACGGATTATAACGTCTCATGAGAGGAGATCAGAGCATTCCGAGGCTGACTTCACATCATTTTGTAGCGAACGCGTTGACGCTCTACGCAGTTAAATTAGTCACTTATTTTAAGAATATGACCTACTGACTTATCACGATTCAGTTCAATCACACAAAAAATATAGACCATAGACATAGAGTATAATTATTGTTCACCATACGAAGATAAACCGGCAAAATATTAGTCTACCAAATTAAAACTGCACTCGGTGCGTCGATCATCGAGAAGGGAATTAGGGAAACATTTCTTCACATAGGGGAACAAAGCTTCGCGAGGGGAATTGAAAGATAGTGTTTCGCATATTTCTACTGACATGTGTCTGATATTGGTTACGCAAATTTATTTATTTATTAACTTTACAACCATACATAAAATAGATTAAACCACTACATAATATGGTTGAAGGTATGGTCAACAGGACATGAATAGCCCCATGTGAAGACCAACCTTAAGTGAAAACAAACTATAACAAACATAAATCAAAGACGAGAACAAATATAAAATTTACAGAAAACATGACAAATTACGAACAACAGCTTAAGTTGAAAGAGCGGCACTTAGAACAGAAGGTTTTCCAACACAGGGGGTCCAACTAACAGCTGTGTTATGAATAAAACATATTAATTAAACGTAATATGAATAAAACATCATAACGTAATATGCTTAAATTATTGCACTTACTTGTATAAATCATAAGAGCTTGCTTAATACAGTGAATAGCTTCAAAAACTTGCTTCGAACGATTGTTCAAATATGGCGAATAAATTGACAAAACGAAAATACGTTTAATACACGGCCCAGACGTGTATTAAGCCCCGTTTACACTACGCTCAATTTTGGTACCGTACCACTTTTTGGTTCTTGGACTACTTAAATAGATAGTCCAAGAACCAAAAAAGTGGTACGGCCGGTACCAATTTTATCCGTGCCGTACCAAAAATTGAGCGTAGTGTAAACAGGGCTTTAGTGTATAGCCGGTAAATATCCTATCATTATAGAATTATACTACACACTTGGTAATGAATTCAAGAATTTTGTATTTTAAAATCATAGCCTACTTTGATTGTATGTGATCGTTTTATATTTCTGGGCGACTTTACACTCTGTCTGCGACTGTCGTCATAGGTGATAGCAATGCTTTGATTACTATCAGTCTTACTATCACCTATGATGACAGTTGCAGGCACAGAGTGTAAAATCGCCCAGAAATAAAAGACGATCACATACAATCAAAGTAGGCAAGTAAATATGATTTTAAAATATAAAATTCATTACAAATTTTACTGTGTAGTATAATTCTATAATCTATAATGATATATTTTCTGGCTATACATGATACACGTCTGGACCGCCTGTGCATGGTTGTATCATGAATAGCACTCGAAACCATGCTATTACCTATACTACTAGTACTTGCACCTAGGTCCCTTCTCGCCCTATATTAAGCATGAAAAAGAATTTTTACACTTTACCGAACCGGAGCAATCACTGAATACATACGCCATCAAAACACTCCAACTAAAAGAACGGAAAAAGCGTCAAAACACACGCCATCAAATACTTGCGGTACGGTAAAGTGTAAAGTACCCCATGAAACTATTAACTATATCAAGTGTAACTTTCTTTGAAATGTTTTTTAACATAGAATCATTAATCATTTATTATGGCTGTCACGATTGATAAAATATTCGGGAAGATCGGCGAATTTCGCCAATATCAATGGTACATCTTGACTTTGATGGGATATTTTCTCCTGTCTGTGGGTGCTCTTAATGGCATGATAGTCGTGTTCATTACAGCAGAACCAGAGTGGAAATGTGTTGATGGGTATATGAATAATACCGTATGCAGATTTAACAAATCAATAACATTAACCAGTGATGATTACAAAGCAAGATGTAAAATGCCAAGAGAAGCTTGGACCTTTGTAGATGACTTTACATCCATTGTTACCGAGGTAGGAAGGCAACCTAAAATTCTGTGTGTCAATTCCTACTAACACATTCAAATAAATGGGATGCGTTAAGCTATGTTAGCTGGAGTACATAAAACCCCGTAGATGAATTAATACATTATGTTCATGGATCACTGTTCATCCGACATTAACAGATTTTAGTATAATTACATAGGTGATTATTGAAAATTCTCCACACTGATTGGTTGCCGTTGAGGTGATTATTACGCGATAATCACCTAAGCGATTTTCAAAATGGCGGCCGAAGCCGTTTTGTCAATTAAATGACGAAGAAATGTGTATTTTTTATTTTTTTCCAAATAATCACCTATGAAATTATACTAAAACAATTATTCACCTCAGGCTCGGTGATTATCGTGAATAAAAACCTCGACTTCGTCTCGGTTTTTATTCACCGATAATCACCTCGCCTTCGGCGAATAATTGTTAAATAATTATAGTCATTTTCTGCTACAGTATGATCTGGTTTGCGATGACTCGATTTTTCTTTCTATTGCTCAATCATGTGGATGGGTTGGGATGGTGATTGGTCTATTGATTGGTGGCTATTTGTCCGACAAATATGGCAGAAGAATTATGGTCGGTTCAGGTTATGCTATCAATACCATCGTATCCTTTATTGTGGTGTTCCCGAAGTACTATATAGTGTTCATTGTTTGTCGGGTAATCTTCGGATTGGGTTCAGGTATTGCATCTTAAATATTTTAGATGTATTGTAAACTGCATGTGTTTAGTATAGTTAATGGTAAATGTCCAGCAAACGCATGAAACCTTCCCTATTTAAACTTTTAGCTTTCTCGGGATAATTTAGCTCGTTATATCCCAAACGTATATTGACATGAAATTCACTGCAGTAGAACTATTGAAATTGTAGTCTAACTCCAGTGGGGGAAATTCACTTTTCCCGGGGGGGGGGGGGCAAAGTCTCCTAAATGTCCGACAAAACTTTCAGATTTCCGACAAACCCCCTCATTCGCACTCGAAAAGACCGTTTTAATTTATCCCTCTTTTAGGTCAAAATCCCCGAAAATTTGTCAATTTTCCGTGAAGGTGGGGAGGGGCTGTCGCCCCAACCAAGATTTCCGCCACTGTCTAACTCTATTTATTCTTAAATATGTAACCTGTATTTGCTTCTCGTATACAGTGATAATCGCCGATATCTCATATCCAAATGACGTCAATTGACGTCACTTATAGGTTGCAATGCTGAAATATCTCAACAACGTAACATGGAAATTACTGAAACCAACAAAAGCAGTTATCTTACAGTCAGGGGCGAAACTTGACTACTGGGGGGGGGGGGTTACACCCCCCAAAGCACAAATCATCTGGATTGGCAGGGCAAATCATCTGGATTGGCAGGGCAATGAAAGATTTTAAATGATAGAATGTGGAGTTATTAAGTAGATTCCAGGGCTTCCAGAGGGAATTGAATGCATGTTTTCATGCATGTTTTCATGCATGTTTTACAGGAAGTTGTCCGAAAAATTTTTTTGACCCTTAATTTTGATTGGTTTATGTCCGGAAAAATTTTTTCGCCCCTTTTTGAATATCCGGAAAAAATGTTTTCGACCTCCCCCCCGCTCGCCAACATTTTTGGGAGAAATAGTGGCCAAAAAAAAAAATGCTGCAGGGCATCATCGGCTTTCGCAGGGCAATTCTAGCAGACACCCCCCTAATTAAAAGGGGCTAGTTTCGCCCCTGCTTACAGTTTAATTAAATAGTTTGTCGTTTAATAAGAATATAATAAACGTTAACAGTTCTTTCACCCAGTAAGACTCAAGTACCTTTGTTACAGGATTTGAAAATTCCTCTTCGTTTTCTCTACTGACGGAGTTCACAACTGAGAAATACCATTCGCGGCTTGGTATCGGATATTTTGTGTTTTGGACTGTTGGTCTGATGATATTGCCTCTGATAGCATTCTTGGCCCACGAATGGAGAACGTTCGCACTTATAACTGCTTTGTGTGCTGCACCTACCTTACTGTTGGTCTGGTGAGATTTAATTCATTCATTGCTTTACGAAAACATATTTTAGAATCATTTATAGAATATATATATACACATAGCAAATTCAAAATTTTTACCAATGGCGTAACTTTGTGCTAAAAGCACCCAGTTAAACTGAAGAGGACCGTCAGGCGCCTGGTCCTGCCCTGGCATAGCTACACCAAGAAGATGTATAATTAGCTGAAATACAGTTAAACTTCGCTACTGTTTTATTCTTGCTCAGAAGCCCCTAATTGACCTGGGGACCCCGGATAGAAGCTGGGCTAGAAAAGAGTTAACTACGCCACTGCAGACGCCAGTTCGGGCGGTCAACCATAAAGATGAGTAAGGTTGTAATCGTGATTGCCTAAAGAACACATATTATAAAATACACGAAAGAAAGGCGATGTTCGATACTTTAATTGTGTCGGGCACATTATTCAGCACCCAACAAGGGAAACTCCCCCCTCCCCCCTCTTCTATTCCCCTGTCTACAACATTGACTTTCAGTGTCAATATAACCATTATCAGAAGATACGAGTGCAATATTTGTGCATGCATCTGCAATATTGGGGAGGGGGCACCGGCGTCTGGAAATGTTGGCGACGGGGGGGGGGGGAGAAAAAATGTCCCGTCATACTATACCGAAATTGCACGTTTTTGACCAAATTTTTTTAAAAAACATGGAAATTTCCAAACAAAAAGGGCACCTTTGATGTTAATTTAGTATTTGCAACGACATTGGCGTGTACAAAAAGGGCACTTTTCATAAAAAAGGGTACTTTTAGTCCTTTGAAAAAATTGGGGGGGGGGGGGGGGGAACGTGCCCTACGCCCCTGACGTGGGATGTTGCAAACTAAATGTTGTGGTGTTTCATCCTTTTCGAATAATACATATTCTACCACCTTAAACGTTATCGTTTTTGGAGAGCATTGTCACTGCATTCTACCTTTTTCTGCTCCAGGCTGATACCAGAATCACCACGATGGTTATTGTTAAATAATAAAGAGAAGGAAGCGAGAAACCAACTTTTAAAAATCGCCAAAATCAATAAGAAAACATTACCTGACGATGACCTTGAAAAGCCTGTTATTTTAGAACAACGAACTAGCTTTAGGCAACTGTTCTCGTCGTGGAAAGTGGCGAAAATAACTTTAATCAGCTGGAATCTGTGGTAAGTTGGGTTACTATTAGTTGAATTCTGAAGATTTAACAGGTATTGAATACGGTTGAGCATGTTAAAAATGATCAAATTATTATTATTGAAGAATTGCTAGAACCAAAAATAAATACTAAAACTTTACATTTTTGTTATAAGTAAACGCATGCTTTGAGGGAAATTAGTGAAATGACCCCGCAAACCGAGGGAAGTAAGGAGGTTTAGTGAGGGTCCCGAGGGACTCTTACTAAACCTCTCGAGGTTTGCGGGATCATTTAATCACTACCTTTACATTCTTGCCATAACCAACAAGAAGATCACATTTAGAAGGAGGTTGGACTGTGGTCGGAAACGTTTATAGACAGAAAAATACCAATAAATAAGTTGAATAGCAAATGGGCATTCAGTAAAAAGGTGGATGAGGGACTCCGTTCAGCCACAGTGACACAACGGGTCAACGTGCATTCCAAAGCTCAGAAAACGATCGGCGGTGGGAAGAATACCATGCGCAATCAACCGGGAAGTGTCCCTAACAGGTCTTATGAAACGCCAGAGAAGAAGGGACAACCAAACATTTGACCAATCGACTGGAAGACCCCAATTCGCATACTTTTCGACGCATCAATGTTGCTTGCGATGGTGGTGAGACAGGGTGTCATACTGTAGACGAAACTTACCGAGAGCTGTTCAAGCGTGACCACAGATTTCCGAGGACCGCAAACGACGTATTCATTGTCCACAAACTTCCGTTCCAGAGCAAACCAAGCCGTCATCAGAGATCGATAAAACGGAGGGAGAGCGTCCATATCATATTTCGGTGGTACCGCCCAAATCAAAATTTGGTGAACAGAGCGACCAGGGAATGCACGATTGAGATACTGAGAAAAGAAACTAGTCCACGGCAAGTTGGGACGAAAAATATGCCTCTTTACCCATAAAACATGCAGAGGCAACATCTTACGATGGACGTCCACCACACCTAAACCTTCATGATTAGGTCGTTGTGTGACTGAGGAGCGAGCCAGCCATTCTCGTTTCTTCCGCCATACAAACGGAAAAACCTCCCCATTGACAGCTTTAATGATTGCTTCAGGTATTACAGAAACCGAACATAGATACCAGAGAGTACTTAGCCCCAGCATATTGGCAATGAGAGCGCGTCCACGAAAGGAAAGCGCTCTCCGGTTCCAAGCTGACAAAGTAGTCTTCAAGGCCTTGATCTTTGACATCCATTGTTCTTCATTATCATTAGAGATACGAGAACCCAGAACAATGTTTTCCACATTGGACCAATCCAGAGCAATTGGTAGATTAGAACGAGATTACCATGTACCAATCAACAACCCATGACATTTTTTAACATTTAATTTAGCCCCTGACAACAAGGGGGAATTTCGTTCTCGACCAATCAGCGCTTTTGTTTACATTTTTGCCCTAAGCCAATCAGAATGCGTAAAACGCTTCATCACATGAAATTTGTAAACAAACATATGGGGTTACTTCAGAGCTTTTCTGCAAGCGGTTTTTTTGGTTTTTGCCATGAAATTGATATATGTTGTTCTTAAAAGAATTCTCCTCAACTTCCTCGTGGCGATTTTTGATTAATTGCGTGATTGCGAAGATATGGGTCTTCAAACTTTGCCTTGCGCAAGCTTAAATACCACCCCTCGAATTTGTAGGTTCCGAACGGATTAGCGTTTTTAAAAGCCTTTCAAATCGAGGTTTGAGAGGTTTTATTTTTTAAAAGATACTTTTATCTTCATATTTTCACATTAACTTATTAATATCCTGTGTAACAAGTAAACAGGACACTTCCGGGCCGGGACAAGTTGACATGTCGATTTCTTGCTAAACAGCGTGGCGATCAATATGGTTCGTATCTAAATACAGGGAATTTTTAAAATTTTGTTGGTATAAATGGGCTAAAGAAACTCATCAAATATTTGGACTATGGACCTTCAAACTTATGCCAAGTATTTATTTGATTGATTAGCTCAATAACTGTTTCTTGGCTCGTTTTTCGTCGATTTCGACATTTTGTTGACTTCAGGATAATGTGTCAACATTGCGTGTTGCAGCCTGTGGACATGAATATTTTCGTTTGTTTGACAATAACACTTGTCTTCATTGGTTTTAATCCTTGATTGACAATATATTCATTGGTCTCAGAGTCCTAAACTTAAGGAAGATGGATGACATTGGGACAGAATGATTTTGTTCAATGTTGCTGTTCAGGTATCAAAATTTATGGACATATACCTGTATATGAACTTCATTGTTTTTTTACTTCATCTGGCTCACTTGTCACAATTGGGCCCTGTTCATATTACCTGGCTAGGTGGGAGACGACATTTGCCAGTATGTTCTATCCTATCCTGCTACTATCGGCCTAGCTAAGCGTGAGGTTTCCATTGCCAGAATCCTGGCTATATGTAAGCCAAGAAATTCACCATATACAATAAGCACTGTATCCCAAACAGGCAACATGATAGGCTTCAAGCATGTGTTCTGGATAGCCTAGATCATATAAACAGGTCCCCAATAGATCCCGAGACTATAATTGAAACATTTTAGTCCATAAATTTGTGCATTACCAGAATACCTGTGCACAAATGAATATTTTACACATATTATATAATAATGCAATCCAATATTAAGCTCCCAGTAACCTCACAAATAGGCCTCCCTTCCAAAAATCAGATCTCCCTTCCAAAAATAAGCTCTCCCTGTTAAGGGCTGTCAAAATGGGCCATGCTAGCCCAGCAAACATGGCTGGATTTTCTTTTCAGGGCTAGTTTGTCATTTCCCTCACAGGAGCCAGGCTAACCTGGCAACTGTTGTCAAGAAATTTGTGTGAAATGCTGGTTAATTTGTTAATGACAACAGCTTCAGAAGGCTTATATTAATCAATTTCTTACTTACTTGGGCCAAATTGTGTATTATAACATGATTTTTAGTCGAGTGAGCTGGTTGGCCAGCTTATGACCTTTATTAGTGTGAGACTCCCAATGCAGGATATCCACTTGCTCAAGCAAATGCTGGGCCAATAAATTCAACCAGGCTGTTTCATGTGAATGCAATCTCAAACATATATAAAATTAATATACGAGGCAGTATCTTACCATGGGCAGGTGTATATTTAGCCCATATAAATGGGCAAGACCAGCTTGCTCAGTGTGATATTATACTACTGACAATACCTGGTTAATTCTACAAGATTATGGCCTAAAATGTTCCAAT